TTTAAATTAAATTAAAAGCACGTTTTCACGGTCACCGCCACTTTCGATTTTGAAGGAAATTTAGAAATCAGAACGAAATTTGATTTTTGTATTTATTAAGGCACCTTACCTGAAAACCTGTAAAAAATATCGGCAAAAAACTTATTTAAGGTTGTTTGAACTCACTTATATTTTTAACTTTCAATATACGCAGGATGTGTTTTCAGACATATTTAATATATAGTATCTTTTACAATATTAACACCGTCGCTGATATATTTTGAATTTAATGTCAACAGTGATTTCCTTGTGAAAGGCGATTTGTTGTCTGTGTTGATACTTTAAGAACGATCGACTGACACCAACATCAAAATCACGCCATTTTTATAATTTTGATTTAATTGGAAGTAAATATTACTCTGGGGTTACTCTGAAAACATATCTCGAATTATTTGCAAAGGTCTCTAAGAGGTTTGTTGCTATAGCTAATTGCATTTTACAACTAGAAATCTTAACATAATGTTATGCGATACTCTTGCCTGTCCGCCTTCAACCACTGCGATACCACTTTAATGGCGAATTCATAGCCTGCATTAATATTGGAAAAATTAATAAATGCATTGCATTTAACAAAAACTAACATGAAAAAAATCACTAAACGTTTTTTTTTTAATAGTTCAATAATTTTGTCTTAATTTTTGCATTAAAATTTCTTTATAGAGGGTTATTAATTAAAAAGAAAATGAGCAATACAAAGATTTTCCCATTGTATAATGCTATTGTATAATTCATGAAAAGATACTTTTTCAGACACTCGATATGCCATCAACAAAAAACCCTAAAATTGGTGACCGTTCTTTGTACATAAAATTCGTTTGTCACCATTTTTTGTCAAAGAACAGTTAATGACGATTTAAAACTATTGCAAAAAAATATTAGGATGCATTATTAAAATTTAGCCCTCTTCCGGACTTGTTGTGCACTCATTTTATGAAATTTTTGAAACGGAGATTTATTTCCAGAATAATCTTACTAATGTCTAGAGTTACAAATGCAGGGTGATTCAAAATTCAGCATCAAACTTTTCTAGACATATTTTCTAAGCCGAAATACGACGTTTATATCCTATAAACATTTACCAGCACTCGATACAGGTGATCTACTTGAATTTTGAGAATTATTTTCAAATTCAAATATGTGAAAATAATCCGAGTTTTACATTTTTATTTCGGTCTTTCCGTCCCTGTATAACATACTTTCTCTGCATATATTTCCATTTCCCATAAAAATTTACTCACCACCGGAAACTAGAAAAGAGTTCAAATATTTTATGTCTTTGGAGTGGGAATGAAATCAAACTTTCATTTAACCTTTACGTATAATAATGATAATAATAATAATAATAATAATAATAATAATAATAATAATATTTTTCTACTCCCGCCTGTAAAATATATATTTACACACCGATCTAGCTTGGCTTTACCACATCAGTTTCGTTTCCCATGGATCCGAGCCACTTCGGAAATTTCAGGGATTTTACCGCACGGGTCTGGAAGCAATCGGATGTTTTAAAAGATATTTCCCACGCTTTGAATTTTGACTTTTGTTTATTCTGACAGTCATGTCAGTGAATATATTTGTGTTGTTTTGAGAAAATATATGTGTGTGTATGCAAAAACTAACGGTCGTAGAAAAAGTATGCAACACGCTCGGTAAAGTTTTTAAATCACTCGTTTATTATAAACTGGCTCTTGTTTCATAATATACTATTATAGTTTCAATTCGAATAAAACACTAACACTTGAACATTGTGTTTTTCAGTTTTACCATCTCTCAAAACTAATCTAAAAAATTCGAACGAAATCACACTTACAACGCCACCTATGCGGAGAATAATTAAAATGTTCTCTCACTTGGGAGCGACAAAGTTGTGCGATAAAGAAATCCAGCAGAAAAATGGTGATTTCTGTTTATTGTATTACTATGGACAGTGGCCAAGATATGAATATACATTCTTTAATTTAATTTAATTTAATTGTAGTCGACCTTTTCTGGTCACGTTGAGATTATTGTTCGTTCAAGATTTTAATAATAATAACTATTTGCTTTTGAAACATTTTTATTTAGGTCCAAAACAACACATTGACTATATCCATATCCGCACGTTTACTAATTAGGCTCTTCACTCAATTAGGCAGTTTGATAGAGAAAACGATAAGGAACCTAAACCACCGAAGTGGTGGTTTAGGTTCCTTATCGTAGTGGTGGTGATTTACATTTCTTTATATTTTGCTACCATCCAAGATATATAAATTCTTGAATTTAATTAAATTTAATAGATTTTTATGGTCATTGTCAATTTTCGTATGTCCTAGCGTCTCTTTGGGATTCGTGTTCGTTGGCAGTTTTAATAATTGCTAGGTTTTGTGTGTATTTATTGTTTTTTTTTTAATTATTTTGATTGCTTTTGTTCTGCTTTTACACTGCCATCTATCCGTAGGTAGACTATCTAAGATATTCGCTCACTTATGTGTTTTCCGGTAGAATTAGGTCCCTAAGTCAACATGATGATAATAGCGTTTAAATATACTGCGGCAAATTACTACTGAAGTTGTGATGCCATTTTATTATTATGGAAGCGATATTATCTACCAAATTATAAATTCATAAATTAAATTTAATTTAAATGATTTTTATCGGAATAGCTATCGAATTCTTATTTTGGGATTCAAGTTCTTCAAGACGTTAGTTTTCATTTGATACTTATCTAAATTTTTTGAAATAATAGGTATCTACAATTTATATAATTATTAAAATGTCTTTATTGAAACCTTTTGACACGGCTGTTCATCTGTATGTTGTCGAATGTTGGTGGTACTTAATGTTGAAATAGTTCATATAATAAAATCCAAATATGGGCATCACTATTAATTAGATGATGCTTTGCCGAACAAGTCATTAGCTCTCACCATCCTTTGGTTATTAATAACCTCGGATAGAGGATACACTCTGCTCTAACTTGGCTAACGACTTGTCTTAGGACTCGCATATTTTAATGCTGACTTGTCTTCGGACTACCGTGTTCAACCATGAACGAACTGGAATTTTAATTCTTAGCTGCTTTCTAACGATGCCTATTAGCAAATGTCTGCACTTTTATCGCAAAATAGACTTTAAAGAAAAATACGATACTGGATACCCAACAAAGATCGATCGCTGTCCTGCCATACATCAAGGGGGTTACTGACAAAATCGGCCGAATATTACGGAAACATGACATATCAACGGCATACAAACTTGATCATACCATCGGAGCAATCCTAAGAAACCCAAAACAAAAATTACTCTGGAAAACCAAGGAGTATACAGTGTAGCATGCGGATCGTACAGCCTGACGTATGTGGGACAGACCAACAGAAGGATTTCAGCCAGGCTCGAGGAACATCGTTTAGCCATAAGAAACAAACAAACAACATCTGCTTTGTTTCAGCACCTTTAATCACCTTTAAGATGGTAACTAAAAATACTAGTTATACAGGGTGTCCTACCGAAAACTTCACCGATCTATTTTGGAGAATTGAAATTAGCAAATATTTGAAAACTTGGAATTAAACTAATCTGATGATTCCATAATTTGTTAATAATATCCTATAATTATATTGAACCATTTTCTTACATTACTTTTTGATGTCAGAAATGACGCTTGCAGTCCGAACACTATCTGTAAATTTTCCCCATACTTCCTTTAAAATTCTCTATTAACTTACTCCGGTTTGCTAAACCCATTTACTTAGTAATTTCAATTATTAATAATACAGGATGACTTTAGATGTGGGTATGGACACTTCTGTGCTAAATTTGAAGTCGATAGTTATAAATTTCAGACGCCTATTACATTTTTGAATATGGTAAAGAATATCCCGAACACCGTGTACAATATGGGAATACATAAAATACAAAAGTTTTAGCATCCCGTACCGAAAATGGCAGCTAAAACACAACCCTCTAGTTATGGTCAATTATCCTTATAAGGGGAACCCAATTTCCAGTTTTTTGCAATTTATCGGCGCACCCTGTACATTTTTAAAAAATCATCTGGAATAAATGATTTCGACCAGGATCTCGCTCGTCTTCTGGTCCAAGAATGTTTTCGATTGCCTATACCATTTCTTAGAAATGATTTTTTTCTCGATACCCCCCCCCCCAATTTCAATAGGTTCCTTTCGGAGACTGAACTCTATATTTGTGCAAAATTTGAATTCGATAGCTGCAAACCTCGGACACTTATCGTGTTTCATAGAGGCGTACCAAAAGCCAGACGAAAATCGCACAAAAAAGACAGATGCCAATTTCCATTCGCAGTCATTTTTCATAGGCTTATGCCTCGTGGCCAGTTTAAAAGGAGCAAAACTTCAGCTCCCTCACTCAAACCGTTCCAAAATTTTTCGCGTTTTTATGAGGCATCGATAGAGAATTTAGAACACAGAACAGAGAACGGACAAAAGACAAAAAATTAAAACATTTATTTTTCGACGCTGATTCCATCGGTACCAACTGCTAAACTGTACGACTCTCCGTTGCCGAGATAAGGTTTGTTGCCAAGCGCGTATACTTTCGAAATATTTGATATCATCGATTTTTCTTGTTTTCTTTTTTCTTCTTACTTTCGAAAAATTTGATTTTATCGATTTTTCGAAACTAACAAGAAAAAAGGGCAAAAACTGTCTACTAGTCATAAGGACCTGAAATCGGGAAGAAGAAATACCGCATTCCATTTATATTAATTAGGTTATTTTCAGAAGTCCTGTATTGTAACAAATTATTTTCATTAATAGATCTCTTTATTATATTTATTATTATATTAAAATTAAAATTGAAAAATTCAATTCCAAAAAATCATAATATGTCTAAGGTTCCTTTAAATTTCAATTTTCAAATTTCAAATGGACGTGGCAATGATATGTATAACATGGCTCGATTTAACGCATTTCATAGTGAAAAAAAAAAACTAACCTCGTTTACGGATTTAATCACAAATATATAACACAAAAGTGTATAAACAAAATAAAAACTGGGCGCTTTGGTATTGCAAGAAAAAATTACTGAACAATTGAATTAAAGAACAACGATGAAAAGACAAAAAATTACATTTATTAATTTTTAATTGTACCCATCTATGAAGGTAATTGATTAGGCTAACCAAAGCACTCCTTAATTCCAGTAAAATAAATTTTCAAAATTATTCTCTATGAGCTTCGGAAATTTCGGGGTGAATGATACATTACAATACATACATAGTTTTGACCGTACACATTCACACATAAATATTTGTTAACATGTGCATAATTGCTTTGGTTCCGTGAATTCATCGCGAAAGCTAACTAAGCTTTACAAATGCTTGGCATTAAAACGCGATTTATATAGCCCAGATCTCCAATCTCAGTCGAGATAATCCTTAAAATGTGTTTAAAGGCGATCGAAGACTAACATTGCATACACGTTTCACTGATCGGATGAAAGTCTCTGCAATGGTCAACTAAAAATTTGATTTATTCGACGCTGAACACAATAGAAGCAAAGGAAATAGATTTCCGGTTATCCTTTTTCTGTTCCATTTATCTCACTTATAACGAAAATCGTTCTTGGAAATTTTAAACGTATTAAATCTAACGACAAAAAAAATATTAAAGCGTTTCAAATCAGTCCGGGGTGGTCCGTCTACTTGGTGATAAACGGACTTAGATCGGGGAACTTGAACCCTAAAAACGGATCAACCGGTTCGTTGCCGGATAATCTGGTGGTTCTCCCTTGCTTGAAGTTAGTCGACGTCGATCCAGATCCGCCACGCAAGACGAATCCGCATTGTGCTGTACAAACTTCGTCTCGAAGTATATCCTGCTTCGACCACTCTCTGAGAAGTTGCACGCAATCCGTTACCTTCAACGAAGCGCAGTTGCCCTAAACGGATTTTCCGGTCAGTTTTCACGCTGTCCGTCAGAAGGATCCTCATATTTACCCCATCGGTGTCGCATATACAACTGGTGCATGGACTGGGAAAAAGCGATTCTCCGATATTGACCCGCTTGCCGTGAATCATACACCCCTGTCCAAGTCCGTTCTCCCTCCAAGCGGAAAGGTCCATCGCCGGGAGTGCGTTGCACGCCACCCTCGGATTCAGGAAGTTCGACGGCAAATCGAAAGCGTTCCTCTGCATATTGTTGTTTCCGTCCATATTATCACATAACGTCTTAGCTAACGTCGTCTTCCTTATCTCGGCTAATTGGGGCTCCGTAAATCGCACCAAAGGATCTTCGTTTTCGTACCTAAAATTGTAAATCATGAACTTCGTTATGGAACGTTCGGGTGTATACGTACCAAAATCGGTCGCATTTTCGTAAATGCCTAAACTGTATCGCTATAATGCAACCGAAGGTGGGCCCCACCAGACCTCCTTGCAAAGGCCGTTCGCTCATTCCACCTGGAAACAGGTCGATATCGTCCACGGTCGAGTAAATAGCCTTCAGTCGTTCTATAACTTCCTCCGGGACTTCTCTCGACAGGTCCTCGAACGTTGTCGCTCGTTTCAAGTTGCACAGAGCTCGATAATTGTTGTAGGATGGAATGCCGTGATCTCTCGCTCTTTGAACGTTTAACGCTATTAAGTCGACTCCTGAAAACGGAACTTTGGTGTTCTCAAATAGATGGTTCGTCACTTCTCCGGTAATGAATTGATCCAAGTTTTCCATCGGCGTTGAAACCATACCGCGTGCGATATCGTCTATCAATCCCGGCTGAAAATAGTTCATCATAGAGTGTACCTCGATATCCGTAAAAACTTACCGTCATCATAAAATCGGTTTTGAAGAATGAATCTCTTAATAGGATCGGTGGATCGACGATCTGGTAATTGTTATCCAACCTTGGGATGTGAGGTCGCAGAAGCGAGTGTCCAATTCTATAAGCAGCCGTTGCAAATTCCGTAAATATGGACGGATTGCAATGGGGGTTGTACTCTTTGTAATATCCTTGCGATTGCAGCTTCAATCCGTACAGACTCATTGCGTTCCAACCCAATATCCTCGGTAAGAATTCGTTATATGTGATGTGCTGTAAGTTGGCGACTACAATCTTCCTAGCTTCCTCGAAAAGCTTGTCGTGGTTCCAGTGCGGATTGATGCGTTGTAAGCTATCCCTCACTCTATTGTGTTCCCTTAAATAAACCGTGTGGATCATGGTCAGGCCCGGTTGTTCCGACGCTCTACCGTCACCGGCGATGAAACATAATCCAGACTCGGATTTGCATTCTGGATGCGTTGGACTTCTTGGCAGTAAATCTTTAGTTCCGACTGGGAGGATCGTCGCGTTCATTTTACCGAGATCGCCCTTCAAATCTCTTAGAACGCAATGGTTCTCCCCGTATACCTAAGAGCAAAAATAAGTATGGCAATAGCGATTTCGTTTTGAAATAGTTACCATCGATCCGTCTAGGAAGGCAGTGTTTTGGTTAACTTGCTCTCTAGGGCCAAGATGAAGTTGTCCAGGTAAAGTTCTCATTGAAGGAAAACACATCTTTTCCCCTGTAGCTAGATTATATTCGGGATAATAATGATCACCAGGGGGCACAGGGAATGGATTACATTCTGGGTGTACGGTTCTTTGGCTGTCACAAGATTTACAGGAAGGAATGGATTCATGGAACCCCTTATGTATGGGCGTCATAGTAAGATCGTGGTCGAGGAATTGTGCGAATTGCATCACCATCAGAGAATATCTCTTGTGTAAATTGCTTATGTCCGGATGCACAGTTGCAGAAACGACTCTCGGATTTGGAAGCGGGACTCCAGTAACCCCCGTTATCTTGGGCTTTGAAATGCCTAAAGGAAAAGGGTTGCCTTGAATGCAATCAGCTTACATTATGCGATACTCTACCATCTTCGTAAGCGCTCGGCAATAATCGATTGAAAGTAGTCAAACTCTTTCCCCATTTAGGTCGTTTTAAATTATTACAGTGCCCTGTAAGAGTTCGATACGGCGACGAAGGATCGCAAGGCCCGTTTTCGTCACAGTTCGCGTCAGGTTCGAGTGCTTCAGCGGGTATTAGTTCAGATATATCCACGTGTTGTAGATCGTCCGTGATATGCGGTTGAAATAGAGACCCCAATGAATGTGGATCAAATATCTGACGCCTTTTTCTCTGGTGCCTTAACAGGTGATGTTATTTTCGAGACCGGAGATGCTGCAAACTATTTTACTTACCCTAGTGAATTCAGTATTTCATTCGATGCCAACTCGAACAACAGTGAAGTGTTGGCTTGTTTAATTGCTTGTTTATTTGCCTTGCTGAACGACGCAGCTATTCCATAAGACGATTTTGGATCCACTCCTCCAACTGTAACAGGATTGTTGTGTTATACCCTTCCACATATAAAACACTCACTAACCGGATGACCAGACTTGATATTCCATTTTTCTTCTCTCCAAAAGCTTTTGTTCTGCCTTGGACAACGCATCCATTAGAAGGTCCTCACCTATATCGACTTTGTGGTTCATTTCGACCCATTCAGAGAGCTGCGGTAGAGGATGTTGATAGCAAGATATTCGAGCGTTCAAGAAATTATCTTCTTGAACGAACGCCTTCGGTTGGATTTCTTCCAAGCCGTCGGTATTTGCACAAAGCAAGGCAGCGGCCGTAATCTTTTTTATCTCTTTCAGTTGACTAGTGGTAAGGGAACTAGGGGGCAGATCGTTCTCATACCAGAATCGGTCGCTTTTCTTCAAAAGAATAAACTGTTCTTTCAGCAAACAATTGAGCGTTGGCCCGACCATCGCTCCTGGTACTGCTTGTTCCAGTAGGCCTCCCGCCAAAAGGTCTATGTCTGCAGTTGAATTGTACAAATACTTAAGAGCCTTTATGTATTCGGGTTTTATTCCCCTGTGTTTGAGAGTCTCGAACAATGGAGGTTTGGCAAAGGTGATATTGTTGCAGTGCTGTACCCAGTTTATATATCCCAGTATGCCGTGGTCTCTGCCCATGTGTATGAACAAAGCGGACGTGTCCCAATCTCGTCTCAGTGGGACTTCCATGTGCATGCTTGGTGTTTGGGCTGGGAGGCTAATCAATACATCTACCATTTCCGCGAAAGTTGTGGCAGATTCGTTTGTCTAGAATTCGAACCCATCTAAGGAACATTCCGCTCATTCAACATTGACTTACCAGACTATTGGGGAGCATCGAAAGCAACGCAGGTAGCGCAGTCAGCGCTACTTCGTTATAAATTCCAGATTTTCTTAAGCTGGAATATTTCGAGAATCGTCCGTGGGGCTTTAAATTCAGTTCCGAGGTGACAATTACTTCCTACGAACATGAACTTAACTTAACCGAGTGGTTAATGGAACTGTTTTTTATACCTGGCCCAAAATAACCGGTAAAAATTCGTTGTAAGTTATGTGCTGTATTTCGGCAATCACTATTCTCCTGCTCTCTAGAAACAACACTTCGTCTTCCCAATGCTTATTGAGCATAGCCAAACCCACAGCAATTCTGTTGTGCTCTTTGAGAATCGCCGAGTAGAGGGCATTCGACTGGCATAGAGAACAAGCCGTTATGTTAACTAATCCAGAGTCGTAAGTACGTAATTTCCGAATTTGATCCTCGGTATTTCCATATACGGCGGAGCCATCTAAGAAGGACGTAGCCAAGTTCATCTGGTTTCTGTGCCCTAAATAAACAAAGACGACTATTTCGACTACAATCGACTACAAACTTACTTAACTGGCACTGTTCCGCGTCGATAGACGGGAGAGTGCGCATGTACTCCTTGCATTGGCCATTTCCTAGTTCAGAATAACACTCTGGATGCCTATCTGCAGAATCACCGCAGCAATCTCTGGCCTTGAGGTTACCGGTCATGGCCAAGTCGTGCAGGAGCAGTTCGCTCCAGGCTCCCAATAGGGCGGTGACAGAATCGTGAGGTTGCGCCGGAATATTTTGAAGCGTGGCAGCCACTTGCAATGGATTGGGTAGGGCAAGTGACAAAATCGACTGTCTCGGTTTTTTCTTTCCTGTAATTGATAATGGTTCAGCATAATGTCACGGTTTTAGCACCCTGTTATCATCATGATTTTGAACATGCAGAATTCAAAAATACTAACAGCAGACTGAACTGTTACTAAAATAACTCTTCGTCTTCCTATCTCAGAATTAGGAGGTTTGAAAGAACTTTAAAAGTGTATCAGCGAAAGTTCACCATAATTAAGAATGTAATCGCGAAATCTGACCCCATCCTGTTATCATTTTTGAATTCTACAGCAGGTAATGTTCAGATTTTCACAGTTTTTAATGCTTTATGACATTTAAAACAAAAAAAAAGATGTGTGGCGTAAAAGTTGTGAATCTCATAACATTGCTGTTAACATTTTTGAATTTTGCATGTTCAAAAACCACCAGGCATAGTGAAAAAGCGGATTGATTAAAAAAAATAATAAAACCAAAAACCTAAAATTTAGTGCAAGTAAAGTGGTTTTTAGCAATCGTTCTGTATTTCACTTACATTTTTAATTCACCAGTCGTTCTTTTAAAATTAGCAGAAGACGAGGTAACTAAAGGAGATAAAATTTTTTAAAAACGGATTTTTTCGATGAAAAAGATTTTGAAATATTTTTTTTTCCAAGAATGTGGAAAAAATATATTAATTACGCCAGATGGGTTATATAAATGCCACGAGCCAGCAGGTCCGTTTACATCTCTGGTGGAGTTATTTTTTTCTAAAATAATTTAATTTATCAGGAGTTGTAAAAAATAATTCAATTTTCTGATGCGTAATTGTGAAATTTTAAAACTAAAAGGCATTGCATATTTGAAATTCAATTTATAATCATATTTCTGAAAGATAAAAAAAAAGAGGTGTAACAGCAATTTTGCTCGTTTATAGAATTTTAAGCACAAACCTACGAAACTATAATTATAACGAACTATCTTAATTATTTTCCATCGAAAACAAAAAAGCAAATATCATAACCCCTCGAGCGAGATTAGTTTTATCAACACAATTTTTTTTGTGGCAATTGAACCGATAATGCTTTGGACAATATTTTATTTCGACTGATATGTTTTCCTCATGCCAAGAGTCATAATTACTCTTAATTTAGCTTCTTATCACAACGCCAAGAGTAACAATTGTTTACCTCTGAAATTTCATCGTTTAAAAACTTATAAAAGACTGGACAAAAACAGGGAAAAGGCTAATGAAATAATTAATTTGAAATTTGTAAGAGAGATAATTTGTTAGAATTAAGAAGGCTAGTTTTCATCGCCGTAATCGTTGTTAGGATTTAATATTTGCAATATAAAGTTCACAACCATGCTTTTATGACTTTTTATACGTTTATTTACCAAATTATTTTTTCGATTTGTAGTTTATTTATACTTCTAAATTTAAAAGTTTCGCTATCATAAATTTTAGTTTGCATTTTGGTTGAAGACTCCAATTAACTTCGATATTACCGACGCATTTCTAATATTACCATCAGCGTAACTTGGTGGCAGCATTCTTAAAAACGGGGCCCCGCGAGTGCCCCAACTAGGGTGTCTGACATTGTTGCATTCACCGGATGGTCTTCTGAATTTGCTCGGAGGACATGGCACCGTGTCTTCTTGCCGAGAACATTTATCGAATGGCAGCGTGCTATTAATTTCGGCAATCAATGCCTTTTGTACTACGGACCTCAATTCGTTCGGCACAGGACGAAGATACGACGTTATGTCGAATTCCGTTTGGATGAGGCCCGAGTGACCACCCGTCAAGCATGTGATCGACAGGATCGAGATTACCCATAGCGTTGTGCCCATCAACCGAAACCTGTAAAAAATAATTATCTTAACTTAAATGCTATGAAATTCCAATAATATAAAATATACAGTGGTTAAAACATGTAGGGCCGAAAGCAGTAGTTACACCTTTAACATTTTTCTGAATCTGAGTATTTTTAGGACTTTATGTTGTGGTATTGTTACATTACATTTCTATAATAAACTGGCCTAAAAGCGTCCAAGAAATTATTCACTTCCCTTATTCGATCCATTACGCTCGAACGTCCCGAGCGAGTTGCTTCTATATTTGTGTTTGTTTAAAAAAAATGAAGTAATGCAAGCGAAATTTACAACACACTGTACTAATAGACCGTATTTCATTCAGTTTTTTCTAAAAAAAATGTTGCGTAATATTAATCTAGCCAATGGCTTCTTCAACTCAACCTGCCAATCATTCTTCTTAAATATAAAAGTATGCAAATATGATCTCACAGTGCGGTCATTCCAGGCAAGTACGAGTATTTAGATTCTATCTGTTTGCCATAATTGAAAGTAGTGACGAACGATGACCACCTGCATACATAACTTTCGTAAACTTTTAATTTCAATCACCCTTTCTAATTGTTGATCAGGAAATCAAAGCCGAACTGCAATGATATTTAAATAGAAATTTCAAAGACATAATAACCCTCAATAATCTATAGAACTCGGGAAAGAAGTTGCAAAAAATCTATTCAAGACAACAAGAGAGAAATTCGGATACGAAAGGACAGTTGGTAGAAAAAAACAGATGACAGAACAAATCATGGGACTGATGGAAAAACTGCACAAATATAAAAACAGAGACAATGATACGTCACGAAATAAGGAAAGCAAAGAAAAGCGAGATTGTAAAGAAATTGAGTGAAATTTTTGGGCAAATACCTGGGTTAACTTACATATACATATACTTAACATATATCTATTATTTTATATCTTATAATATATTAGTGCTTCTTAAAATAATAAAAGTAGTCCATCGTAGAATACACAGGAAGGTGAACGAACAGCGAAAAGACTCGAGAAGTATAGAAAACTTGGTATCAAAGAGCACATGTAAAGACGCAAAAGATCAGATCCGAAGACATTTTCGTTCATTACGTATTCAGTGAAGCGTTTGAGAACTTCGAACAAATAATATAGATAAATTGCACCCCAATAGCGAACCCGAGATACTCAGATAACTCCGTGTTACTAGCAAATATGAGTCATGAGTTACAGAATGTGTGAACCCGATGCAATGAAACTGGCAAACAATACGACCCAAATATTACCTCAAGGAAAACTACATTCATGATCATTAGCCGAGACTAACTGATGTACGCGAAGTCAACACTCATCTACTTATAGAGCTTTAAGCTTTAAAATCATCGCCAAATCCCAAATGAGTTGCAAACAAACTTGTCAATGTCAATGAGGTACACTCTACTGTCGCTGCAAACTAGACAGTCAATTTTGAAACTTTCCGCCAAAACCACAAGCATTGTATTTAAATGTCAATAACTTGCGGTGAACTCTATCAATGACATGAATAATCAAATGACAATGAAAATTATTTTCCAACAGTTTCTCTTGTTCTTCGGTACAAGATATTTTTAGCTCGCTTCTTAATAATACAATTTTTAATTTATAATTATCGAGTTTATTGAATGCCAAGAAATTGCTAGTAATTTGTTCAAATTGACCACACCGAAATTAACGGAAATGACTACTGAATGATAGTTGATAATACACTCAAAATTGCTAGTCTATATAGAAAAGGAGAGCGTTAAATTCCTAAGTTAGATGCTGACTTGTACCGGACAGAATTATGGAATACATTATCCTTTGTCATATTGATCAAGTTACAACTTACGCAGGTGTTGAACAAACATGCCATTCCAAAGTTTTCATATTTACTGAGATGTGTAAAAAAATTTAAAATCTTTAATTTTTTTGGCCACTTATTTTTAAGCAGATTTCAGTATGATCCATTGATGCACACGTATGCCAAAATAGCATAGGTAACCAGAACGGTAGGGATGGACAAGATGTGATCCGTGCCTTTTATACTCGTCATTGTCTCGAAATGTTATTTTAATGACGCAAATGTCTTTAACATTGCTAATTCGATTGAATGTAAAACTGAACTACAAACAATAAAGTCGAATGACACACAATGGAAAAATTTATTGTAGCGGAACAGGTGTCGATATAAAATTAAGTTCTATGCTAATAATTCTTTGTGCGAAGATGATGCTGCTTCGTTACCCGCGACGATCTAAATAGGAATGTCGAGACGTCCAATATCAACACGGATACGCATGTGTTTTTCATTAACATTATAATGTTCACGGACAAACTACGCGTGCTTTCGGATTCATTTTTAGCAGGACCACAGAACTTGTTTTGATCGGCATGAGTAATACCTTAAAGTTTAAGGTCAGAAAATTGAAATAGGATGTTGACTGAGAATTCTGGATAGTTTAAATATGAAAACGTCCCATAAACGCTCGTCTCTATGGCTTTTTAGTAATATGAAGCAATTTCTTGCAGTTGCAATTTATGACATCATTATGGATCGGATGTAGAACTTATAAGCAGCGTTTCACTGAACGAAATAAAAAAAAAGTAAATATAAATACCACGCTGCGCTTATTGTGAACCGTCAGGAAATGTTTGTCAAAATAGTAAAATCAACAATGGAAAAAAATGCAGTTTTTTTAATGAAACATGAAATTTTCCAAAATCAAATTTCTGTTCCATATACAAGTAATATTTGCAGTTACACATGATGCTCTAAAGCCAAAATGGAAAAAAAAACTACCAAATACCTTTGCAGATGCTTGGTTGGCGTTTTCATTTATGTATTTATTTATTACATGAATCAAAAGAGAAATGGAAACTTCGCACTTCTGGAGAATATTCATAAACAATAGAATAACGGAGGATATATAAGTAATTAACATATGAATAATACAATATGAACATAATAACAAATATATGAAAACTTGACCGTGTTCTGACACAAAATTTAGTCCGATATCTATAGCTGGAGGTGTCAGCTTGGTGAAATATTTTACTGCACTTAATATAGCTGAGAAATTTACCTTTTAGAAAAAATGTGTAATAAAATTGGATGTATCAGAAGCATAAAAAAAATAGTATATTATGCAACAAGTGCAATAAGCGGCATTTGACTCACGAGTTTATTTGTCACGAGCGGAGTGGGCGTTTAATAAACGATAATACTTTTTCTACGACAGTTAGTTATTGGGTACATTTTCGCAAAAAAGCACGAATACGTTGACTGACATTACCGTCAGAATTGACAAACGTCACAATTCAAGGCGCGGGAAATATCTCCGAAAACATCCGATTGCTCCCGAACGCATGCGGTTAAATCTCGGAAATGTGCGAAGTGGCTCAAATCCGTGGGCAACGAAACTGAAGTGATTAAGTGGCGCTTCTCGCACGCTAGATCGGTGTGTAATTAGACTATTTACAGACGGGAGTAGCAAAGTCATTACTTCAGTTCTTTATCTTGACAACTTCGGTATTTTTCTATACCGCATATTTCTACTTTTTAACAATTGATATTTACGAGTCGCCCCAATTCGACTACGTCTTATCGCGAAAGCAATGTATTAAGAAATACGGCGTTCCTTGCGAATAAATTGCATAAAATCTCTCTCTCTCTCTCTCTCTCTCTCTCTCTATAGCTCTACAACCCAGGGTGGGTCTTGGTTGACTTCACAATCTGCCTCCATCTGTCCCGATCAATCATTATTTCTTCGACCTGTTCAATGTTTAGCGTATTTAGGGCTGCTGTTAGGTTGTCTCTCCAACGCAATCTACGTCTTACCAACGGTCTTCTACCATCCGGTACTTCTTCCCACACTAATTTAATTTTGCCTTCTGACATGGCCTGCCCATCTCAGTCTTTCCGACTTTATTATTTTCACGATGTCTGGGTGATTGTATATTTATTCCAATTCCCTCTTCGTTCTAATGCGATAGTGTTGAGTGACATCATCTTTGGTTGGTCCGTATATGCCCCTTAAAATTCTTCTCTCTGCAATTCTTAGTCATTTTGTTTTGTTAATGACCATGTCTCACACGCGTATGTCATAATCAGTCTTATAACTGCGTGGTATAGGTATTCTATTATTAACTTCCGTCGTACTGTTGTTGTCTGAGGTGATGGTCGCTCGCAAATATTTAAATTCGTGGACCCTCTCAAAGTTGTATTGGCCCATACAGACATTTTGTGGTTACCATGTACTTTGTTTTGTCTTCTTTAATTCTTAGACCTAGTCGCTTGGCAGCATTTTCCAGTTTGACGAAGTCCTCTTTAACATTGATAGCTGAGTTACCCACTATATCCATGTCGTCGGCGTACGCCAGTATTAGACGGGGTCCCTGGTTTCTAAATAGCAGTGTTTCTGTATTGGCTTTTCGTACTATGCTTTCTAGAGCGATGTTGAAAAGTAATGGTGATAGTGCATCTCCCTGCTTTAACCCGTTCTTGACTGCGAAGAAGTCTGAGATTTTTCCTCCTACTCTGACGGTACTTCTCGATCCCTCTATACAGGCCTTTGTGAGATTGATTAATTTTATTGGTATTCCCAATTTCGCCATAGCACCCCACAATTCTACTCTCATTATACTATCATATGCCTGTTTGAAATCAATAAAGATGTAGTATTTTATTATATTCTCCATTAATTGTCTGATTGTGAAAATATGGTCTATTGTTGAACGATCTTTGCGAAACGCGCACTGGTAGTCGCCTATTTGGTATTCGACGTAGTAAGTCAGTTTTTCCAGCACAATGAGGGAGAGAACTTTTTAGTCTGTATTTATATACCTCTGTAGTTTAAGCACCACATTTAATTTCCTTTCCTGTGTATGGGTATAATTACACTTTCCTTCCAGCTTGATGGTATTTGCTCGTCTGTCCATATTTCACTGATTAATTTATGCAAGGCTAGTAGCAAAGTCCTACCCCCATTTTTTAGACATTCTGCC